TGGATGGAACTGGATGGGATTACGAATAAATAAATAAATCTAAAAAAAAAAAAAAACTGCAATGCAAAAATTTTATTTTTTGAAAGAGTTTCTGCTACAGATAAAGAATACCTAGCTTTGGGCCTCCCTGGTAGCACTATCATGCTACCACTCCTGCTGCCTGAGTTGGATCCCCAGCCAGGGAGCTGACCAACATATGGCACAGCAGACCTCCCCTGTTTCACCCACTGCTCCCCTCAGCAGTATATTTCAGTTGATCCACCTGCTCTGCTCCCCACCCTGTCTCTGATGAATCCTCTCACTGCCCCCACCTCTGGCCCATACCCTAGTTCTTATATGCAAAAAAAAAATAAATCTTTATGAAAAAAAGGAATGCCTAGCTTTATCTGTGAGTATATTTGAGTAACAAAAATAACCTGCCAGTATTAGCAGATGAAGGATGATTGTCTAATGCAAAGTTTTTTCCTTTAAATGCAATTTACTGCAATAAAATGAAAGACACTACTCAACGGGCAGCTATTTTAAAAGTAATTATGAGTCTCAGAGAAAAGTTCTTCCCAATTTTTCTTATGCTATTAAGAGATTAGAAATGCAATGGATAGACAAGTCACCTACATCACCCTAACATCATAATGTAGGTAATAGTAATTGTTCATTTTTATTTTGTGTATTTGGCAGGTGCACAGGCAAAATTTATATCCCTATTTCCTCCTAAGTTGAAAAATTACTAGTAATCTGGCATAAGTAAAGACCCTGGTGCTAATAAGGAGTCAGTAACAAACAAACTGATCACAGAAGCTCAGGAGTTGACCTAGGTGATATTGTTCATCTTCTAGTACTGTTGGCAATAACTAAATTTTACTGTGTACACAGATTCCATAAAGTCATTGTTTGCTTAAAGAAAACAATCTTGATTCTGAGCCTATCTCCTAGAAATCCACTGACCCTGACACTATTATTGAATATTACCACATAGTTAAACTAGAAGTAAAAAAACAAATGCAAGTAATACAAATCTTTGTAATAAAACAGTCTGAAGGGTATGACGAGTAAGTAATGAAAGAACTCATAAGAAAGACAATAGCAATCTCTCAGATCAGGACTATCCTAAAAACAACTCCCTCTGTTTTCAGCCAAATAAATCCTAGGAGCTGAAGTTTGGCAAACTGCATACTTTTTCTGCAGTAACACTAAGTAGCTGAACAAGTTAAATAAAGCAACTGAGATTTTTTTGTTTTAATTCAAAAGTCCCTAAAGCAGGAATCTAAATCCTGCAGAACTTGGTTTGATCATCTTGATCAAAACCTTATCTGAAATACAAAATCAAATGTATCTACTTTAGGATTATTTATACATTAGTCAATAGAAAGCATTATAAAATTCTTCAGAAATAAAGTTCTGTGTAAGTGCTAAAGAGTAATCCATCAAATGCTTACTTGGGGTACAGGCCAGAGATGTGGGGCGTGAAAGGATTCACCAGAGACTGAGTGGTGAACAGAACAGGGAAATCGACTGTCTAAAGTATACTGCTGAAGGTAGCCGTGGGCGGGTCAGGAGAGATCTGCCATGCCATGTGGGTCACTCCCTGGCCAGGGATGGAACTTGTGCTGCAGTGACTTCAGATTTGCTTCTTAAGTGCTGCGCTTTAATCTGTTGTGCCACCCAGAAGAGCCCTAAAAGTGTACCTTTAATCACTGTCTTTTATTAGTGATTCTAAGTATTCTACTGAGCTGTAGTTTTCAAACTCTTTTGACTGTAACCCACAATAAGATACATTTTACATCATAACCCAGAGAAAGAAACAATACTCAGATACAAATAGCATTTTCATGAAATACTAACCTCATGCACTAATCTCTTTTTAAAAAAAGAACCACTAAGTTATCTCAAACTAAAAAGTTATGTTACGCAGATTGAAAAATACATTAAAATACCTATAAAAGTCTAAAATACACACATTAAACAGAATCAGCCATAAAATGTAAAGTCATTGACATTAGCCTTCTATAACTGTAAATTACAAATGGTGATTATCATTGACAGGAGGGAGTCTTGATGAAACTGAGATTATTTGAATCCTGTTCTTAAGCCTTCCCTGTGAAGTCTACAAGAAGGAATACTGTTAAGGGGAAGGATGTCCTAAAGGAACTCTGCAGAGTCTTATGGACTCCACACCCTACTCCAGCTTTCTGGACTCTAACCCCTACTCCAGTGGTTGGAAACTACAACTCCCAGCAGTACCAGGGAGAGAACGACAAGGACCCAAGGGCAGAGCTAGCAGGAATTCTGGGACAATGGGGGGATAAATAGGGAGAGATTGCATCTCTCCTCTCTTGCTTAGGAAGCAGCCCTCCAGACCTCATGACTCGGTGTGGTTCAGTCAGCCATAAGGTATTCCACTTACTTTCTATCCTGCTCTCTTTCTCTGGGTTGTTTCCTATTCCTTTCCCCTTCTGTAAATAAACCTGTTATTGACCCTTTTGTGTGTACCTGCAGTATAACTGAATTGTGAGCGCGCAGGTGAGGCCCCACAGACAGGCGGCCCAGTCCACTCTGGGCTACCCTGTAACAATACTATACACAAAACAAAGAAAGAAAAGACTAGCAAAGAAAGAAAAGCGCTCTATATAGTCTTAAGAGTCCTAAATCCCAAAGTGGAACTCACGTATTAGATAGAAATTATTAAGTGACACCATTTCCAGAGGAAAGAAATGGCCTAAAGCCAATGGAGGTGATATGGGAAAATACTGGGAGGAAAAAAGCCATGCAAAGTAAACTACACAAGCAACAGAATTTATACAAGTCTCTTGCCTCAATCCTGAGGACCATACAGAAGGAAGTGTGTCCCAAAAGAAAAGGCTACTAGGAGGTACCCTACTCTGCCTCAAGAAACAGACTATCATTGTGCAGACTTCTAAAAACAAAGTAATTCTATTCAAGAAAACAAAACCCACATTACCAGTACTGAAATTTAGGGAGGTAGACAATGCCTTGACCTTGAGCCAGTAGTGGTAAGAAAGGGGAGGGAAGGTGTGAACAGTGGTGAAAATAAAAGAGCAGTCTCTCTGAAAACGTGTCAAATGGCTTCTGTTCCTTCCATCGCTTTGCTGCTGACCACAGATACAGAACCAAACTAACAATATTTTAAAAACGAAAACAAAATTATGTCCTTAGTAAATTACTATTACCAAAAGTAACTTTTAAAAGTGCAATTCATATTTTGATATATAATAGTACTGTTAGGAACAGAAAAAGCAGGTAACTTTATATAATGCCTAGCATATTACAGGACTTGATTAAATTCTAATGATAAAAGATAAAAGATACTGATGAAAGAAATTTGGAATACAGAATTGTGAAACCAGAATGAATCTCAAAAATCTTAAGATTCATTCTAGGCCTTTCTCTTCCCAGGCATCATCTGGGGGCAGGCCATTCCCACAACCCCATTTCTCTGTAATCCCTCAGAGTCAAACTTAATTAAGACAGTTGTTTTGCATTTTCTCATGTCAATTACTATCAATCAAATCACTTAGCCAAAATCTATGTAAGTTCACAAATTGTGGCCTCTTTCCTACCTAGGGCCTCTGCACCTGTGTGCACATGGCTTCTCTATACACCTATGTGTGTGAAGATCTGGATAAGGCGCTCCCACATGACTGCCTTGAGACAATGGCCCACATCAAGACATGACCAAGAACGCCTAGGTAACCACTGACTTGCTGTGATCAGGGTTCAAGACTGGAGGTCAAAAATTACATCAAGCACCTGCACGGGAAGTACTCCCTGTACACATGGCTGACATAGCCTCCTCCGTTCCCCATCAAATTGATTACCCTTTGAAGTTCTATTCCCCCTAAGATGAATACCTTTTGTTTCCCCTGGTCCCTGCTTCTCCTGCTGTTGTCACATAATCAATCATACTTGTTCATTATTACTAAATAAATGGCTATTTATTACTAAATAGCAGGTTGCCTTGCAAACCTGTTCCAAGACTAGTTTCTCAAATGTGCGCTGGGGAGCGTGCTGGTGTGCTCCCTGACCAACATATGATCTTCATATGTTGCCAAATTCAATGGACACTTTACTGTCCTTGTCTCATCTGACCTTTATGGTGGACAACTATTATTTCTGAGAATACATTTATTTCTTCTGTTTGGGAGGCAGGATCCACATTTTGTTTGGGGAGCTACTACTCCTTGGACACCACTAGATACAATCTTCCTGGAAAAGTAGATTAGGTATTCTTTTTTTTTTTTTTAAGATTTATTTATTTATGCATACAGAACTAGGGTACAGGCCAGAGATGCATGGGTGGTGAGAGGATTCACCAGAGGCAGAGTGGGGAACAGAACAGGCAGAACAACAAAGTATACTGCTGAGGGGAGCAGCAGGTGGGTCAGGAGAGGTCTGCTGCACCATGTGACTCACCTGTGGGGCAGGGTTAGAACTCACACTGAAGCAGCTGCTGCAAGCTTGCAGTGCTGCGCCTTAACCCATTCCGACACCAGGGACAGCCTTTTTTTTTTTTTTTTTTTAATCTGTAGTCCAGTTATCCCCGCTGAGCTACAGACTTGTATATATAACTGTTTACTAGACATCTCTACTTAATATTTTAACTTGGTTATTTCATATTTAACAGGTTGAAAATACTTTCCAATTCTGTTTCCCATCATTCCCTGTCATATCTCATATGTCATTTCCTCTAACTAGGAATGCTTTCACCTGCCTCTTCCACTGGTTAGGGTTCAATTTAACTTTCAAGCCAACTCATTCAGAAAGGCTTTTCCTGATCACCTTATCAAAGTTTTCATATGACAGGTTTTTTTGGGGGGGGCCTGGCTACCCTTTAAACTATAAGTTCCATAAAAAAGGCAGAAATCATTCCTGACAAAGAACTGTAAATAATTCATAAGGAATTATTTAGGTCTAGTTATTTAGATGTTCAAGGGTCATTTCTGATACTGTGAAACTCTAAGGGTCTCTTTACTCTGAGCTTAAAGGGCTTCCATACAAATTTCCTAATAAGTATCTAGTAGATATTGGTATAATGAATAAATGACATGACAAATGATATGCAAATTTTGGCTCTATTCCTGACCTTTCTTCTAAACTCCAAGGTTTCATTTCTAACTGCTTGTTGTTTATTTCCCTATGAATATGCAACAGCATCATAAACCTGACAATATCCAAAGCCAGAGTATTATCTCCCCCACCAAACCTGTTCTTCTTCCTTTATTTTCAATTATTGCCTAACCTTCCTCCCACTCAGTTGCAAATTCTAGATCTTTAACAATCTCATCCTCCATAGTAATAGTCCCATGGGTTCTAATTCCCCCCAATTTATCCCTACTGTAATTCCCTGTTTAGATTTCTCAATATATTGCAAATACATAATTAAATTAGGCTTCCAACTAGTCATCTTGCCCTTAAAATTCCCCTTTTCAATTTCCTGCTTACACAGCCACTCCAGTTATCTGTCCAAAGCAGAAATGTTTATGTCACTCCCCTTAGTCAAAGTTCAGTGTCTCAGAACAGGTTAAATCCCTAAAGATGGCATTTCAAATATTCTCTATTTCCTCAAATTCCCTTCCACTTGCAGAATCTACTACATTCACCAATGAAAACTTTAGTCCAGTCCATTCTAGACTGGCTTTTAAAGGAACACAACCAACCTGTTTCAGTGCTCAGGGTGTTTGCTTGGGATAGTTCTTCAAGCAGAAATAAAAATCCTTGGTCATAAGTTATCCTGTGAACTTCTTTCCAGCCTTTAAAATCTAAGTCAAACCATTCCCTTCATGAAAAAACTCTGATCCGTCCCCTCTAGTCAGAGCAAATCTATCCTTCCCTCGACGTTCTCACAACACAGTTCAACCTCACCTCAGCCACAATTCCATACTGCTTTGGGAATTCGTTGTCTATAAGCCTATTTTTCTCACTCATTAAGGTTCGCTGAATTCATAATCTTCCATTTACATAGCACAATCTAAAGCATTCTGAAAATATTTCTGAATAGATACACACACGCGGGTTGGGGGGGGGGGTTTGCCAGGACAAAAGCTAGAGATTAAGTGATTTACTAAAATTTAGACAATTCTTCGATGCAAATTCAAACTGGAACCAAAATTTTCTAACTGCAAATTTAGTTAACTTACTCTGTTCCACAGTAATGACACAAGAATTTCTCACTTCCTACTCCATAACAAAATCACCCTGGACTTAATATCAGAATATTTCTCTTATTCTCTTTGCAAATATGCTGCGCTGACCCTCGTATGTATGGGAGGAGTGCAATTATTTAATTTTCAAATGGTATCTAGATACTTTTAAGAGCCTCTATGAGTAAGTGGAAAAAAACTTTAATAAACTTTAATAAACTCCGGAGTAAAAATACAACTTGCAAATGCATACAGACGGAAACACTCAGCCCACACCCCGCACTGAAATGACAAGCGAAGGAGAACCGGCGCCCAGCCTCTCAGAAGCGGCAGCCTTCCTGCTCCTAGACCCAGAAAGTGGCCTATGCCTGACAGCAGAGCATAGCTCTGAGGTGAGTTTTCAGAGTTCCCCTGGCATCCACTTTCCCCCATAACAACGGCCGTAGTGTAAGGCCCCAAGGCCTTGAGGTCCGCCGGTAGGCCCGGGTGCAGTCCGGGAGGGGGGGCAGGGGGGTCCGCCCAGGGGACTCGGGACTCGGGCTTTCTTGTCGCCGTGCCCCTAACCAAGCTAAGGATCTGTCACACCGGCGCCAGGCTGCAGCAAGGGCTAAGGGCCTGAGCCGTGGGGCTTCGGACCCGGCGCTCCAGGGCCCGCCAGATCCAAGAGGGGGCCCAAGTGGGGGGCGGTTTTCTAGTCCTCTCCCGGGAAAACTCGGCCCGCGCCCCTGAGGAGGCGGAACTGGCTCCCTCCCTTTCAGAGACCACCTAGCCGAATCAGCGTGGCCTGGCTCGCCCGGCACTCACCTGCCCGCCCCGGGGAGCCCGGCGTCCACCAGTCGGTCCCGAATTCCGTCCACACACGGCGTCTTCCGGCTCCCGCCGGAAGCAGCTCGAGCGCGGGACAGGAAGTTTGGACGCCCCCCCGCCCCCACGCACACACCCACTCGCTCGCCTCTGGGCGGTGGAGGCTCCGGCTGTCCGTGGGTTCAGCGGGAAAGGTCACGGGCCGCTGGGTCTCGCAGCACAGGGTTCGCCCATGGAGGGAAGGGGCCATGGTCACCTGCCTAACATTCATTTTGTCTTGGCCTTCGCGGCTCCTGTGGTCCGCGAAGTCGGGAAACGGGGTCAGTGAGTTCTAGCGATGACGTCACTACTTCCCCGCTGCAGCGCTGGGGTCGTTTTTCCTGTCATTTGAGAGCTGTACGAATTACAAAGAAAGCATTCGGGGGAGATGATCACCACTTAAACATTTACCAAAGTTCTCAGTGAAGAGAAACTCGAAGTTTCGCCTGAGAAGTGAAATTGCAAGATCTAGTTGCCTTTGGAACGTGGTAAGAATTGACTCGTGGGCACAACTTTTTCTAGAACATGAATTCCCAGGAATCTAGGTTGCCCATAATCGGATCTAAAGAGCCCCTGGACGTCCTGATTCGTAACAACGACACTTAAATTCCAGGCTGGATGGCACCATTTGTTAGCGCTTTAGGAGCTTCATTTTGAAATGAGTAATTTTTGAGTATTTGCTGCGCGAAGAAAGATACTCGACAGCGACCTAGTAATGTTGAGGTTCGACTGTGAGAATTACAGGAGTTCTCCAAGAGAGGCTTTTTTCAGGTTAAACACAAACGTTAAGGACTGCATATAAATGGATGAGGGAAGAGTAGTTTGGGTACACAAATAAAAGATGGTGATTTAAAAAACAAAGAAGAAACTGGGGAAGGAAATTCCTAAGCACAGTTCCAGGAGATATTTACTTAGAAGAACCCAAGTTCAAATAAGAAGTCAGAAATAAAGACTAGCTTTGAAAGATAATTAACATAAAGCTGAGAGATGAAGCCTTCTGGAGATGAACCGGTCCAGAAAAACAAATGGTACAGAACCAAAAGAGAACCCCAAGAAGTCATCTAGAGTGATTGATTGCTAACACAATTTGAGTCTATTTTTTACAAATGTTCCAAACAAAAAATTAATGCAGTGTGTTAAAAGTACCCATAAACCAGCACAAAGCTCAGAAAAATATCATTTTTATTGTTTTAAAGGGTTAATTACAATGAATTAAACTCTTCAGAGGTACAAGCTAGATTATTCATTTTTACAACCATTTCTTTATTTGTCCAGTTTTCTTTCTGAAGCTATCTTTGCTGTCTGCATCTTTTCAATCACCTAAAACTCCAAGTGTGTACACCTTGAAATCTTTACAACTATTTGACAGTTTGTGCCTGTTAATCTAAAACATACGTTTTCAATATGAGTGTTTTTTAGGCTATACAGTAAACTATCAGGCAAAATCAGTCATCTTCTGTAGGAAATCTAGTCTCTCTAGTAACCTTACCAACCTCAGTTATTTTCTCATACTACTCACAACGACAAAACCTCTGCCCTATCCCCAAGAACTGTTCTAGAAATGCTAAATTCCCCCAAATTCCTACACATGTAACCTGCATTAAGTGTCTCTTCTATTTATAGTATGAAAAGGCAACCCAATTCTATCCTTTTACCAGGTTTCAATTCAGGAATTATGTAAGACATTTCCAGTCCAACAAATGTTAACTAAGTACCTTTCTATTTTCAATAAAAGATTTTAGTTTTCATAAATGTTGTATGATCTATTAGATCTATTAATAGGTATATCAACTCTCCAGTGTGACGAGCTATTATAAAATATAAGTAATATTCATTTTAGCAAAAAGAAGGAAAACATGCTGACTTAAATCTATTATTGTAAATAATATGTTGGATATAAAGTACACATGCTGAATATATAAGAAAGAATTGTTAAATAGCTAAGAAAATATTACCAATGATCACATCTAAATCAAAGGTTATCTTTAAGGTTTTTTAAATGTATCTTGAAAATTTTTGTGGAAAAAAAAGAAATTTATATCCTTAATGAGGACTTTTACCAAGATCACAAAGAGGTGTCTTCTGAAATGCAAACTATTTGCTTTCCAGTGTTACCTCCTGTCATCATGGACTGGAATGCAGCTGGAAAGGGGAAAAAAAAATAGGTTATTTGAAACCATGAATGTCACTATCAGAGATGTTTATCAGGTCAAACATATAATTCACTTGAATAATTTCCCTGATTTTAATATTGGTGATAGAAGAAAACTATCAATGAAAAGAAACCTCAAATAAAATACTATCAAAATTACAGGACAAAATGACCCAATTAACTTTTTTAAAAAAGATTTATTTATGCATAAAGAACTAGGGTACAGGCCAGAGGTGCATGGGTGAGAGGATTCACCAGAGGCAGAAACAGAATGGGGAGCAGAACAGGCTTACTGATGAAGTACACTACTCAGGGGAGCAGAACAGGCTTACTGATGAAGTACACTGCTCAGGGGAGCAGAGGGCGAGACAGGAGAGGTCTGCTGCGCCATGTGGGTCATCGCCCATGGCTGGGCTCTCGTGCTGCAGAGAGCTTCATAGAGCTGTGCTTTAACCTACTGCACCACTAGGAAGGGCCCCCAATTAACTTATTAAAAAATGTTTTTACCAGAGGTTCCTCAAACTGCTAGACATAGAGCTTCCATATGACCCAGCAATCCCACTCCTAGGTATCTACCCAAAAGACACAAAAACACTGATTCAAAAAGATACCTGCACCCCCATGTTTATTGCTATTTTGTTTACAATTGGAAAGACATGGAAACAGCCCAAATGCCCAAAAATGGATGACTGGATTAAAAAGATGTGGTATATATACACAATGGAATATTACTCAGCAACCAAACAAAAAAATAAACACATGCCTTTTGCAGCAACATGGATTGAACTGGAAAACATCATGCTTAGTGAAATAAGCCAGAAAGAAAAGGAAAAATACCGGATGGTTTCACTCACAGCAGGAGTATAATGGACCAGGTGAGAAAATAACAACAACAATAAACAGCTATATATCAGAGACATTATGGGGGTGGACTGGGGAATGGGATCAAAAACAGTGCGGGAAGGGAAATGCACTGGACTATGGTGATGGCACAGGGTGATTTGGTGATGGGAAGGATTACAACTGAGATGGAAAAATGCACAAAATGATGTAAAAATAAACTATTTCATTATTTTTAAAAAAACAGGCTTTAAATAAAGACGTAAAAGAGTCTGAAGGGAGTCTGAAGACTAGAGAAACATTTTTTTTTAAATAGGATAAAATCAGTTTGATTTAATCATTTTCATTTGAATCCAACAAAAGAAAATGTTGAAATCTATGTGAAAGGCTAATCAAAACACCCAAAACCTAAATGTTAAAATTTCATTTAGCGTAATCATATGATGCTTTAGAATCATTCAAATTGAAAGTTACCTAGAAATTAAAAATAGCATAGTTAAAAAAAAGTTGAATGAAAAAGATACCTAGAGGCTAAATGAGTTTTACAATTCTTACTTTTTTTCATAAGCTGTTATGAAATTTATTATTTGAAATGTGAAAACAATAACTCTTAAATAACACTATGTTAAGTTTCAAGGAGTCTGATTAAGATATTTAAGGAAATCTTCAGGATGCTTTCATTACAAAGAAATTAATACAAAAGAAAAATCAGGAGGGGGCCTCTCTGGTGGCCTATGGGGTTGAGTCTCGGCCCTATCACTGCTAGGGCCTGAGTTTGATCCAGGTGACCCACATGGCTCAGCACACCTCTCCTGGCTTGCCCACTGCTCCCCTAGCAGTGTATTTCAGTAGACCTTCCTATTCTGCTCCCTCCTCTGGTGAATCCTCTCATTGTTCCCCCTCCACACCTCTGGACTGTACCCCAGTTCTTCCACGCATTAGTAAATAAATAAAAAGTTAAAAAAACAAAACAAAACACCAGAGAAGTAGAAGGAAAAGGGAAGTACTTGTGCTGAGCACATGTGTACAATAAGTAAATCTACATTCATCTTACCACCCATGTTTTCCAGTCCATTTATCACAGTCTCTTTGATCTGTAAATCAAAATAACTATATTTAATATTCTTCTTTAGACCAATGTTTCTATTTTATAATTTCTACTTTTTCAAAAGACAATACTATTTAGAACTTTCTAAAACCAGATACTTTTCATATATATAGCCCAGATTTTTTAAATGATTTTTTAACTAAAAATCCTATCTTCCCATTGTCTAATAGGACTCTTCAGTTGTTGACACCACAAATTATATACCCTCTTTTCAGAAAAAATTGAGTGCAGAAACACATGCTTATACAACTTTGTCTATCATCTGCAGTTTCAAGAACATCTTAAGTCAAGGTCTTTAGATCCCAATAAATAACTCCTGAATTTCAACCAACAACCAAGAGATAATACTATTATATACATGTAAGGTAGGAAAGAAACACAGTGGTGGAGTGATATGGGTATTAGGAAGTGTTCATAGGATTTTTGAGAATGTAAAGTTTCTAGTACCTAGTAGGCATTCCCTAAATATTTGCTAAATTAATGAATATTACAATTAAAAAAAAACCATTGATCTTGTAATATAATCTAAGATAAAGAAAGCTAAACAAAATTTTTATGAGAAAAATAATAAAATGTTACTCAATCGAGATGTTATTTTCACCACAGAAATAGTTAACTTATAAAACCAGTGGTCTTTTTGTAGAGATTTTTATTTTGAGATTAAGTCCAAACAGTACAAAAGCATATCAAGTAGAAGGAAGAATGGTTTTTGATAAAGAATGGAAGTTCTACCTTTAGCTTTCCATCTTTAAACCACTGACTCAATTGTAAAATTCCAGGTTCAAATTTGTCCTTATAGTTTAAAACCAGAAATCTTTCTCTGTAATGGGGAAGAAAAAGATAATGATCAGAGATTAGGTAGAGAATAAAATAACCTAAAATCAAATCTTTCCAGAATTCTAATATCTGGTAATCCTTCCATATTAGGACTCAGTTATGAAGAGTCTGGTAAGATATTAATTTGAGACATAGATGTAGTTACAGTTGTTAAGTATAGTGGAATTTTGCCTGGCACCTGTGTGATTTTATATTGGGTGTAGCATCCTTTTCCCCACCCTCCTGTGACCCAAGTGAGGCCACTCAGCCATGAAATATCAATGCTTGATAAAAAGGCAAGGAGAAAGTGGTTCTCCTTTTACTTGGATTGGTAAAATATAAGACTATATATATCAGTTATCCTCTCACGCTGCACGAGGAAAGCCCAAAAGGTGACAGAGCCACCCAGAAGAAAGCTGAGCCCAGAGAGGGAGAAAAACTGAGCCAGATGCCACCAGGTAAACACTTTATCCAGTCAAATTGAAGTTAGCACTCATCTCAGACTTCTTAGATACTTTAGCCAATACATTTTCTTTACACTTGTCAATGTGAGTTGACTTTCTATTACTACCAAAAGTCTGAAAAAACATGTATTTTTTTTTTTTTAAAGTTTTCTGCTGAGGAACAGTTTACTAAAACCTATAGATTGAACTGGCTTTAAAATGTATGTCTTCAAGTTGTATTTAATAAGGAAAAATTATATATGAAAAAAATACATTTTGCATATATCAATGATTTGAATCTGAATCTTTCTTGAAGCTGGTAATAGGAGGAACAGGTAGAACACACCTTGTGATGTTCCTTTCCTTCTGGATTGCCTCCACAGCAGGGGGTAGTGGAGGAGGATAAGGCACATCTTTGTTGTACTGAGAAATTTGACCACAGAGGATGATGTGACTGTTTTGATTCATCTGTTAGAAAAAATTGGATGTTATATCCTAAGATATATGCCTTTCCTATGTTTACTGATTTTCTGACAATCTCAGTACTAAATTGTCCTTGCTTACTATATTTAATCCCTTATGCCAATTAATTGCTTTTGTTTTATGGATTTACCCAAATATATATATTTTTTAAGATTTATTTATTTGACATACAGAACTGGGGTACAGGCCAGAGGCTCAAGGGCGGCGAGAGGCTTCACCAGAGACAGAGTGGGGAGCAGAACAGGCAGATCAACGAAGCACACTGCTGAGGGGAGCAGGGGGTGGGTCAGGAGAGACGTCCTCTGCACCATGTGGTCACCTCCGGGGCAAGCGGGGATTGAACTCATGAGGAAGTGGCTTTAGCTTCTCAGTGCTGTGCTTTAACCCGCTGCGCCACCAGGGAGGGCCCCAAATGTATTTTAAGAGTTTTAACTGGCTAGAAAATAAAACGACCCCTAGAAGAGTAAATGAGAGCTTGGTAATCTGCAAAATAAAAAATTAGTGACTGTCATTATTACTACTTTTAATAGTAGTAGTGTATTTCTTTGGATTTAAATAATCTTAATTGTAATTAATTTTAGGCCTTTCTGATGGCCTGGGGGTCAAGTCACAGTGCTATCACCCCTACAGCTTGAGTTTAATCCCAGGCCAGGGAGCAGATAGTGCAGCAGGCCTCTCCTGTCTTGACCTCTGTTCCCTTTGGCAGTATATTTCATTAGACTGCCTATTTTGCTCTCTACTCTGTCTCTGGTGAATCCTCTCACCACTCACATCTCTGGACTACATCTCAGTTCTTTTATACAAAAATAAATAAAGTCTTTTTAAAAATTGCAATTAATTTTATATACAGTAAAGAATAATAGCTGTGTTGATATTGTATAACACTGTCAATAAAAATACCTGCAATTTATGGAAATCCATTCCCATCTAAAGTCAGGTCATGGCAAGTTAGGGGCCAGAGCTTCACAATTTGAACAAAACAACTGTAATTTTTCACACAAAAAAATAAATTTCAAAAAAATCTAATGTTGCTAGTAAGCACTGAAACCTAGTCTCTGCAAGTCTGTAAGAAAGGAGGTATCAGCAAACTTCTACATTTAATACACTGAACAACACATGTTTCACAAATTACAATTTTATCATTTTTTCTCAAGTAAAAAGATACTTCAAATAAAATGTAGTATTCAAAATTTAAAATAAATTAGTAAACAACCTGACTTATCACTGTATCACTGATGTCACCACCAACATTGTCAAAGTAAACATCTACTCCAGCTGGGCATAATTCACGAAGCTGTTCCGACACGTTTCCTTTTTTGTAATTAACTGCAGCATCAAAGCCCAGTTCTGATGTCAAAAAGAGGCACTTTTCTTGTGTTCCACAAATTCCCACCACTCTGGAACAGCCCAGCAAATGGCCAATCTAAAGGGGAAATTTTTGAGATTAATTTACCACTATTGTCATATTTAATGTAAAAATGTGAAGGTATGTATGAGATATTACAAATATAGAAGGTTACTCATCATGATTTAGGTTAGATTACAGGACTTACAGTTAAAAGTAATTTGAACCAAAAGAACAAAGGACAAATAAAATATTCTTGAAAAAAATTAAGATCGAGGGGAAAAAATTAGGATTGAGTAAATTTACTTATTTTAAATGTTAAAAACCTCTCAATTTAAAGCTGATTTCATAAAAGGAATAGTCACACCCAAAACATTATTATCTTGCAATTCAATATTTTTCAAGTATGAGAAACTAAAATTACCATTAAAATAAAGTGTTTTCATAAAATAAAGTGTTTTGTTTCAACTATTTTAATGACTATTATTCATAAATGTACTTATATTTCTAGGACCCAATGAGTACTTTCTTATTTGAAGATTTCCTTTAATATATGGGTGAGTCATTTGTTTTTAAATTCAAGTTCCAGACAGCACTCTGTGATTTCTTTTTTCTTCTCTCTTTTTTTTCTCTTTGATTTTCTACCTTATAGTGATTTGAACAATGCTTGTGCAGTTACCACTTCTATTTTGGGGTAGCAGAAAACAAGATCTAAAAACCACTGGCACTTTCCATATTATTATGTAAAGAGCCTATGTAATAACACCATTTTCTATCAGAAATGGGGAAAACAATATTAATTTCTTCAATTTTATATTTAAATTATGTACATATACCCAGAGTCCAAATTACACTTGTTAGAAAAATCAAATAATTCTCTGAAAGGTTACCTGCACAGGGGCATCATCCCTGGTGGCCTACAGGTTAAGATTCAGCACTGTCACCTCTGTGCCTCAGTTCATTCCCCAGCTAGGAGCTAACTTACATATGGCATAGCAGACATCTCCTATCTCTCTCACTTCTGCCCGTGGCAGTGTATTTCAGTAAAATCTGCCTGTTCTGCTCCCCACTCCGTCTCTAGTGAATCCTCTCACACCCCTGTACCTCTGGCTTATACCCCACTTTTTCTATGCTAAAAAAAAAAGAGAGCGAAAGGTTACCTGCCCAGCCAAGGACCCACAAGCACCAGCAGCTCCACTTACGACCATTGTCTGATTAGATCCAGCAGTTATGTGACCTTTTTCCTGTATTCCAATCAAGGAAGTCAGACCAGGCATACCTATAGCTCCAAGAAAGTATGAAAGGTGTCCATCCACAAGCTTTGGGTCTACCTAAAATAAAATGTATACTTTTAAAAATGGTACCTGGGAACAACCCTAGGTAGCGGGACTTGTCGACTCAAGTTCTAAGATGCTTCATGCCTGTATGAAGCGCTTTGAAGGCAACAAACTAATAGTAATTTTGAAGACGGTTTAACTCCACCCTTAAAAATTGAAGAGACCCTTCTAGAAGCTTTGCTCCTTGTTGTGGATCCTTACATGAGAGTGGCAGCCAAAATACTCAAGTATTTTGGAGGAGGGCGATAAGGTGATAGGGCAACAAGTGACCCAAGTTTTGGACTGTGAAAACTCAGCCTTGCCAATGGAATTACTGCAAAGTTTCCTTCAGGCTGGGTAGAGATGGAATGGAGCTGGAAATGCTGCCTACATAGAGGCTGGACAATTTACCATTGTCTTTGGCTCTGGGAAAAATTGGCCTTAATAGCCTATTTGGGCCTATTTGACATCTTTCGTGTAATGGGTGGAAAAACAGTGCTGGTTAATTCTGCAGCAAAAGCAATGGGCTCTGTAATGGGACAGATAGCTAAAATTAAGGGTTACAAAGTTGTTGGAACAGTGTTTCATGAAACGGTTGCCAATCTTAAAAAAAAACTCAAGATTTGATGTTGCCTTTAACTACTAGACAGTAGGGTCTTTGGAGAGAAACTTTGAAAAAAAAGCCTCTCCTGATAGTTATAATTGTTATTTTGATAATGTAGGGGGAGAGTTTTCAAACATTGTTATCCTTCAGATGAAGAAATGTGGAAGAATTGCTAGCTGTAGGGTCATTTCTACATGGAGTGGTAGGTACTCAGCCACTTCCCCCAGGCCCACACCAAGACATTATTATCTACTAGCAACTATACATAGAAGAGCCTTCTGTCACCCTCTGTCAAGGTCAGATAGAAGGCTCTGAAAGACTTGCTGACATCAATCACAAAGGGCAAAATCCAGCATCATGAATACATCGCTGACTACATATATTTGAAAGCGTGCCAGCTGCATTAATGGCAACACTGGAAGGAGATAATCTGGGGAAAACCATTGTGAAATTATGAAAAAAAAAAAAAGGTACATGTACTCTAGAGATAACATCTGGTTAATCATTTTTTAACCAGTTAGTAAAAATGCATACTACCTTCATTATCTAAGAAATAGTAACTGTAATAAGTATGATGTACCAATAAAATATGTCAATGGTAAAAATGAAGATGGTACTAGGGATTCTTATTTTATGACAAAGTTAAGGCAACTCTTTATGTAACTGCCCTGATGACATGTTAGGTTGAATTACAGGAAGCTGCCTATTTTATAAGTCAAAATAGACAAATTTGGTAATTTCACATGGTTCAATCTAAGCGTAAAAACTGAATTGAGGACTTCTGAAATAAGGTACAATAACAAGTACAAGCCATGTGAATTTAAGTCAAGTGTAATTTCTCAGGAAACTCTAAAGTACAACTCTAAATGGGTCTTCTGATGTTGAGCATAATTTTTTTTTATGCTTATATCTCAGGTTTTGTTTTAAACACATAAAATTTGAGAAATAAATTGAATAAGGAAAACAACACCACTGTCTGGTAGTTGACAGCCAACTGTGGAAAAGAAGCAAGGACTTTCCACATTTTGGCAGCTATATAAAGGAAATGTACGCTTTTATTTTTGTCCTTGCTAACAAATACACAAAATAAGAATCAAATGAGGGGAGGAGGAAGAATCAGATCCTTTATATTATACATAACCTTTTCAAGAATATTTCCATCCAGAATGACCTTGGTTTGCCAGGGCCAATAGAAAGAGGTCACAAAATCGCCTTTCGTAAAGTTTTTGTGTTTGCTTTTTTCTATAATCCCAATACCTCCACCATCGGTCACTTGAGACAGCTGCCAAGGTGTTATATAATCAGAGCCAGTGTCCTCATTCATTCTACAACGCTAGAAAAAAAAGATACTGCATAAGAGAAATCTGTCTGATAATACTGAACAAGCTTAAATTTACCCAGTAAAGAAAGTCACATAGTAAGTAGTTAATATTATTTAAACAAAATTTAAATTAGTTTCTCTCTTCCTTTCATTTATTTTTCATCCTGAAAAAAATGTAACTTCTCTACAGCAAGTAAAAAAGTACAATTAAAAAGGAATTTATGTATGTTCCATAATTAGCCTGTGATGATATATAACTTTGTGAATATACTAACAGCCATTGAATTGTATACTCTAAGTATATGAACTGTATGATATGTGAATTTTATTTCAATAAAGGTGTTAAAATTTTAATTATTTTTACGAATTTAAATAGTATTACACATATTATGCTATACAAGTATTACAAAATACCACGTCACTGGTTTCAGTGGATTGTGGCAACAAATTGTATGTTGCTGATAATATAAAACCATTTATAGAAAACTAGCAGCCCTCCCTGGTGGTACAGGGGGTTAAAGCACAGCACTGCACACTGGCCGCAGCACCTTCAGTGTAAGTTCCACCCCCACCCCAAAGACATCCACATGGCACAGCAGACCACTCCTGTCTCCCCAACCTCCCCTCAGCAGTGTGCTTAGTCAATCTGCCTATTCTGCACCCCACTCTGTCTCTGGTCTCACGGCCCCTGAACCTCTGGCCTGTATGTCAGATCTGTATGCACAAATAAATAAATCTTTAAAAAAAAAAAAGAAAGAAAACAAACTAATAACATATAGAGCATACTATTATTCATTGCTTTGGCTGAGCAACTTTAATTCTCCAATGGAAAATAACCCAAAAAGAAATGAAAAACCTCTTATGCAATTGTTCATCACAACTTTGGACCAAGCATTGCCTACAGCCCTCAGCCCCACGAATGCCCTCTTCTAGTCCACAGACAAAATGTCACAATAGCACTATACCCTCCTGGGACAAAAGACTTCTCTGGAAGTAATCAAGGTTCTCCTGCTTTCTGTGGTTCGTTCTTGCCTCTAGGTCAAGACGTAGAGGCCTACAGTGTGAGTTATGTGATTAAAAGATGAAAGGCTGCTTGATTAGGGGGCCCCAAGGAGTCTGGGGAATTTCACCAAGGAAAAGACCAAATGGGGAAATGAAAAAGCTTCTATGGGAAGATATTACACTTCTGATGTGTGCCACCTCCATCCATTCTTCGCAAGTACAACAGTCACTGAATACTGGCCAGACCAAGGATCTGACTCTAAAAAAGTAACAGAAAAGTGGGTACAAGCAATTCCCTCTAGATAAGCAAACGATCAACACAATAGAAAGTAATATAACCACCAAATAATGACAAATTTGAACTAATTGCTCATATAAATATATACACATAAAGTCCCTTCAATATGAAATTATATAGTGACCTGAACCATGTAAAAAACCATTACCACATGGAGATTAAAATTAATTGTGAATTTGGAATGATATAAAAATCCAATGACTCAATGCTCATTAGATTCCATTTTACCTTTTAAAGTCCTGTTTATTTATGGATACAAGAACTGGGGTACAAGCCAGAGCTGCAGATGGTGGCGGGGTGAGAGACTTCACCAGAGACAAAGTGGGGAGCAGAACCAGCAGATTGACTGAAATACACTGTTGAGGGGAACAGCTGGCAGGTCAGGGGAGGTCTGTCAAGCCATGTGGGTCAGCTCCCTGGCCAGAGATTGAACTCGTGCTGCAGTGGCTGCAGAGAGCTTCATAGAGCTGTGCTTTTGTTGGGCCACCAGGGAGGGCCCTAAAATTTTCTTTTTTTAAGAAAGTAACTAAAGTGAACTTCCTCCCTTTATGAATATTTAATGAGTATAATATTAGTTATTGGAAATAGTGATATAGTGATAAATGAGATCTTTGTTTTCATAAATTCACTTTTTATCAGGGAAGACATATATCAAGTAAAGATAGACATAATTATAAATTACAATTAGGATCAAAGCTGAATGTCAAGATACTATTCTGAGAAAATGTAATAGAGAGGTCTGGACTAATATGAGGCTTCAGGGTAATTTACCAAAGCAAATCTCTTTAAAGCAGGCTTCTAGGGAATAACAAGGATTGGCCAGGTAAAACAGGCAGAGGTGCATGGAAGCTTTTAGATAGAGGAAGAGTCAGTGTGAAGGCTTATTTTAACATATACCCAGGGTTTTAACAGTATGATATTATAATGGTATGGAAAGAACACACAGAAGTTTTGAGTCTTGAGACTCCTGAGAGAAGAGGTTATTATTTATTTATTCCACAAAAGGGGAAAGCCATCACTCAGGGCTACAGGGGTAAGTACCAGAGTTAGGAGGCAAAGAGCAAGATAGAAGCATGGCTCAGCGTCTTTACTGCGGTTTCCAAGGGAAGGAGTGGGCAAGACAGGATAGTAGATAAGCTTAAATTTAGGACTGAATAGTTTGAATAATTTCAGAGGGCAATGGGTTATATGATGAGTCCCTAGATATTTGTTACCTGACCCTGGGACTATTTCGCTGGCAAGGGAATACTAGTGTGGAGTGGAGTATGACAGAGGAAGGAAGTGAGAAGATGGTTTGCATATAAAAGATGTGCTGCAAAACAAACAGTTTATGATCTCTAAAAATTAGCTAGTCCTGGAAGGGGCATTCGATCCAGGGCTAGCAAGGTCCCTAAAATATCTAGCAAGGTCCCTAAAATATCAAAGCATTAATTATGGTGATGGCACATGAGTGACTTGGTGATGGGAAACCGGCAGAGATTACAATTGAGATGGAAAAAAAAATGTACAAAATGATGTAAAAATAAACTGTTGTATATATATATATATATATATATATATCAAAGCATCAGAAAACAGGGACCTCACTAGTGGCCCATGGGGCTAAGTCTCAGTACTATCAAGCTATCAGAAGCCACTTCAGCATGAATTTGATCCCTGGGCAGGGAGGCAACCCACATATGGCACAGCAGACCTCTCCTGTCTCCCCACCTGCTCCACTCAGCAGGGTAGTTCAGTGGATCTGCCTGTTCTGCTCCACGCTCTCTCTGATGAATCCTCTCACACATACTCCCACACCTCTGGCTTACACCCCAGTTCTTACATGCATGCATAAATAAATTTAAAAAAAAACACACTAGCAACTAAAACAAAGGCAACTTAAAATTCACAGGCATCAAGATATAAGTATGCAAGTACCTATTAATCATGACAATGGTACAATAAAATTAATGAATATGAAAATAAAATTATTTTTTACCAAGTCACAGATGCCAGTTCTTACCATGTAAGGATCCACAGACAGATAAAGAGTTCTGGCTTTTACTTGTCCTTCACAGATATTATCTGGTAAATTTATTTCTTCCATTCGAAAATTTTCTGCCACTGGATTACCATTTTTCCCTAAAATATTAGGAACAAATACAAAAAGTGACTTTTTTATTCATTTATTTTTTAAGATTTATTTATACATACAGAACTGGGCTACTAGCTAGAAGTGCAGGGATGGTAAGAGGCTTCACCAGAGATAGCGTGGGGTACAGAACAGGCAGATCTACAAAATACACTGCTGAGGGGAGCAGCGGGCGGGTCAGGAGAGGTCTACACACCATGTGGGTCCCCTCCCTGACTGGGGATTGAACTCACACTGAACCCACTGTGGGCTCGCTTGCAGTGCTGTGTTCTAACCTGACGAGCCATCAGGGAAGGCCCTTATTCATTATTTTTAAAATAATCATCAAGGATCCAGTCTCTTTTAATACAGGCATCAATAAATCTGTATTGCTTTATAAATTTCTCTGTAACTGTAGAAACAACTCAGAGCAAGGATTTTCTTAAATAGCTTCAATTGCTCTTGATTTTCCCCAAAAAGTGCTTTGGGATATTGTTGTCATCTTCAAAATTTTCCTTTTAAAACTGATCACAAAGGTCCTCCCTGGTTGCCCAGCAGACTGAAGCACAGTACTGGGAATCCGGGGCCACTTCCACATGAGTTCAATCCCCGCCTGCCCCGGAGGTGACCCACATGGCGAAGCAGACCTCTCCTGACCTCCCGCAGCTTCCCTCAGCAGTGTGCTTCATCAGTCCGCCTGTTCTGCTCCACACTCTGTCTCTGGTGAATCCTCTCATCGCCCTTGCACCTCTGGCATGTACCCCAGTTCTGAATGCACAAATAAATAAATCTTAAAAAAAAAAAGGGGTGTATTTGGGGCCCTCCCTAGTGGCGCAATGGATTAAAGCCCAGCCCTGCAAGCGAGCAGCAGTGGCTTCAGTGATTCACATGTCAATGCAGACCTCTCTTGACCTGCCCACTGCTCCCCTCAACGGTGTACTTTGTGGATCTGCCTGTTCTGCTCCCCACTCTGTCTCTGGTGAATCCTCTCACCTCCCTTGCACTTCTGCCCTGTAACCCAGTTCTGTATGCATAAATAAATACTTAAAAAAAAAAAAGTATATTTTTAGTATGTTGTTCAACACAGCAAATTTCCTATTTATTTAATGATCAAATTTCTAAAGTGTGAATATAGAAATTTTAATATTCACATAAACATAATCATTTTACAAAAATTAAGGTCAGAAAAGAGCCAAGTCACAAGTCACACAGGCAGCAAAACCCAAGCATCAGGGGACCAAAACTTCTCAAGTTACTTCCACATCTAAGTTGCTATGATTCAGGTAAGAGGTCAGTATACACATAGTTCAGTGTTTTTCAATAAACAGAAAAAAGGTTTTAAGAACCAATGATACATACTATAAAAGAAAAAACAAAAGTCATATACATTTACAACATAAACTTTTAAACAATGTAATGATCATATGTTCTTTCTTCAACAAAAGGCCTTGCTATTACCTGAAAAATGATAAATTACAGAGTCTCTACTAATATCACTATTGGTGTTAATATCTTCCTACTTTAATTTACCACACTGACATCATATTACTTTTCATTTCTTTACTTGCATTAATAGTTAAAGACCACAGGACCCTCCCTAGTGGGGCAACAGGTTAAAGTACAGCACTAGGAAGCTAGCCAGCCACAGCCACTTCAGCACAAGTTCGATCCCCAGCTAGGGGATGACCCACATGGTACAGCACATCTCTCTTGTCTTGCCCACTGCTCCCCTTAGCAGTGTACTTCCTCAATCTTCCTGTTCTGCTCCCCGCTCTGTCTCTGGTGACTCCTTTCACACATACACCCCCACATCTCTGGCCAGTACCCCAGTTCTGTATGCATAAATAAATAAATCTTAAAAAAAAAGTAATGTTTTAAAAAAAAAGACCACAGCTGTTTACTCATAACAAATACATACCAGGTCGGGAATTCAATACCACTCTCTGTATAATCATCACTCTGTTTGCACAGTAATCTCACAAGATTTCCGTATAACTCCTATAAGTAGAAAAATAAAATCAAAAGAAAGTTCTGAAATGTTCAATTACATTTTAAAAAAGAAGCTCTGAATAAGACCAAAAAATCATTTAGGATCCCAAAGGGGATTAGTCTTTTATCAGATGTTGTCCAAGGTAAATATATGAAGACTCAATTTATCAAGAATTACTAGATAATAAGAAATATTGGCCAATACAAACATACTTAAGATTGAGTTGCATGAAATGTTCTTAGCCTCAGATTCATCTTTATATCATCATTATTAAGTCTCCTACTGTGGTTTAATTAAAAGGAAACATTACAGAGCTCACGGCAAAATGAAAACACTAGCTGCTTAACTGACATATAATCAAAATTTCCAAAATTCTTTTTATAAAATGGAAATTTATTAGTTTTGAGTATATATATCAAACATATGTCAAAGCATCATTAAATCCTCACCTTACAGGAAACTCTGCAATATAAAATGACCAAATATGTAAACACCAGTTCATCTATGTTTATAATTTAAGCTAATGAAAAAAGCAAAATGATAAAAGTCCTCAAATTTTATCATTTATTTTTATAATATTATAATTTTAGCTCTTAGCATCATTTCCAAATATAAAGAATTCACAGCACAGCATATATATACATTTTAAACTTTCATTTTAAAGCCATCAATAAATCCATTTGATATTTAATAATCTTTTGCCTTATATCACTTGATAATTTACACATGACTCCACTCACTTAAGTTTCTGAATTTGCAGGATCCTGAATCTCATCATGTTTCTCCATATCCTGTATAGTACCTGAGTATACTATACAGACCTGACATTTATACATATCCCTATTAAATAATCACCAAGAGATATTTTTCAAACCTTGCTTAACGTAGTACTAAATGGAGATAATATATAACAAACTTTCACACAGATTTCATTAGTCTTAAAAGAAATTACATAAATAAGTATATCACTTTCTTCATTTTACAGGGATGTTGAGGTATAGTTTCTACCTAAGATCACATTGTTACAAGGCAGGGAGAGAGAAGCACCTCAAAGCCCCAAACCAACCTACTCTTAATAGGCTCTGCCAACCACTGCATCAAGACAAAACATGTAAGAGCTTTAATGGAAAGGAATTTTAATACAATTAGTGTGCAATATAGAAAAGATAAAGGATATTGTTTCTAATTCAAACACCCAAAGTTACCCATCCCCTCGTGGGTAAAAGTCTACCCAAAGGGGACTGGCCCAAAGCAAGGCCTGAAAGCTGCCACTAGACTAAAGCACCTTCTGGCTGGGACCCATGAAAAAGGGTCAGAAATGGCCAGACAGGTCTGGGAGGAAAAGAGCAAATTCAAAATCAAGACAAATGCTGCCATAGTCAATCTCCCCATGGGTCTCTCACCCACATCTGTTTCAACCAGTCCAGGAGCAAGAACCAAGAACTTCTTCACATGTCTCTCTGCTCTCTATCCTGTTTCCTTCTTCTTCAGTCTCCCCTCCAGATTCTTCTCCTCCCTGCTCAGCTTCATCCTCCTTTGGGTGGGGCAGGGAACCTGGAACCTCCCCAGTACCTGGGGGCCACCCCCTTACAACATCACAGGAGTTGGGACTGAAACATAAGCCTCATTCCAGATCTCACATGTCCTTACTTTTTCCAGTTTCCTCACAAACTCCTCCAAAAAGAGTTTTTAATATATACAGCCAAACAGTGATGTCCAACTTCCCCACAGAAACCCTTTCCTGCTCCCAATTATGAACTACATATCTGGTGTTAGTGGCAGTTCAGGAAAATGGAATGAAGAGCATGAATACTCATGTCATTTACTTCCTTACTTTTGTAAAGTATATGTTTACAATGTCACTAGTTGCACAATAATGATTAGTTGTCCTCACTATTCATTTTCTCCTTTTGGAAATAATATTGCCTAGTTAAAAAATGGCACTTCCCAGCTTCCTCTTAAATAATCCCATACATCATTTCATTCATTCAGCCATAATTCCCTTAATTTTGCCTCTATGATACAGACTGTTTTTATTTTAATGTGAGTAATCCTGATTTACAAAGATGCAATACATTTTTAAATATAAAATTTCATTTTCAAAACATCAAAAAAATAAGTGTATTGAACCATACTCAGCTTATAATAGAGCAGATGGAAGAGTAGAATAACAATTCATGCCATAGCCTGTTTAACGAATTGGTCACTACAGAAAAAGTAGGTTAAAGGAAGGCAGGAAAACCTGGTTGTATAAGAGTTAGCAGCCATAATTTTCTGGCATTTATCACTTCAGTGTTGTAGCTATGATTAGATACTTGCCTGATGAGAATTCCAAGGGTGTTCAGATTGGTGTAAAATCTGGCTAAAGATGACAACAATGTAGCACTTGTGGGGTATTAGTCTCTTTACTACCATGAAGCTAGCCCACAAGTTTCTTTGTGTGTGCAAGGTATTAAGTCTAATTTTGGATCCTTGGCAATCTTTGGAGTCACTAGATACTTCTGCCCCAATATCTCAATTCTAGTCACTACATAGTTATACAAAAGATACACTGACATAAACCCATCACTGAATGCACTAAATCCAGTTTGAGTTCAGTGGAAAGTTGATCAAAATGATATCAACCAGGGTGTGTGAAAGTAGGTCCAGCTGTGTGTTATATTGGAAGACTAAGCAGGAAGCATGTTGCCTGATTTCTATTTCCTTGAGTGCATTTGGATTTTTCTATTTTTAGGTTTTAATCCTTTTCTTTAAGCCTCTGATCTCTGTATTAAATATTTGCTTTAGGGTCACATACTTCCTTGCTTTCTTTTGCTTACCCATGTATACACTCTTACTCTTATTTTTTTGATAACAGGCTTTTTTTTTAAGATTTATTTATTCATACAGAATTGGGGTACAGGCCAGAGATGCAGAGGGTGAGAGGATTCACCAAGGACAGAGTGGGAGCAGAACAGGTAGATCGACTAAGTACACTGCTGAGGGGAGCAGCGGGCAGGTCAGGGGAGGTCTGCCGCGCCATGTGGATCTCCTCCAGGACAGGTGGGGATAGAACTCATGCGAAAGTGGCTTTAGCTTCTCAGTGCTGTGCTTTAACCCACTGTGCCACTAGGGAGGGCTGATAACAGGTTGTTTTAAATAAACACTATATCATTATTACACCTAAGAGAATTAATAATGCAGGTCATTCCCTAAAATCATCTTTTACCTGGTACACACTCAAATTGCCTGACATGTCTCAAGATGTCTATAGTTGGTTCCTCAGGATTCAAGCTCTGCATACTACATTTTGAGTGCTCCCTCCTTTAATTTCTTGCCATTAATTGCTGAAGAATGTTTCTTCATTCCTTTGTCCATAGGTTGTCCTTTGATTTCTTCCTCATGGTGTCATTTACTTTGTGCTTCTACCTCCCTTCCCCTCAACCTTGAGAAGTAAGTTAGATCTGGATATTTAATTAGATGCAGGTTCAAATTTTTCAGCAAGTCTTTAAAGGTATTGCTATACCCAGGACCTCCTTAGTGGCACAAGGTGTTAAGTCTCAACACTGGGAAGCTATCCTCAGCCATTGCAGCACCAATTTGATCCCCAGCCAGGGAGGTGAACCACAAGGCAAGCAGACTTCTCTTATCTTGCCTGCCACTCCCCTCAGCAGTGTATTTCAGTCATTGTGCCTGTTCTGTTCCCCACTCTTGTCTCTGATGAATCCTTTCATACCCCGTACCTCTGGCATGTACCCCAGTTCTTGCATGCATGCATAAATAAATCTTAAAAAAAACAAATAAAGGTATTGTTGTACCCTATTTCATCACTTCTGAGAAAGCCCATAATGTCTTGAAGGGCAAAATATAATTTTAAAAGAAAATTTTCTATTGAACCATCTAGTGTGTAAATTACATAACAATTAAAAAGCAAATTTAAAAAAAAAACAAATTTTTCCAAATTGATGCTGGGTTCAAAGCTAACTTAAGTAGTTATTAACAACATTATAAAAGATTTTCAAATGAGTATTTCCAAATGAAGCTTTATATTTGCTCTCGTCTCTAATTACTTTCAATGTGCACTTTATTCTTTTAAAATAGGTACTGTAGGCCCTCCCTGGTGGCACAGCGGGTTAAAGCACTGCACTAAGAAGCTAAAGCCACTTCAGCATGAGTTTGATCCCCACCTGCCCCAGAGGTGACCACATGGTGTGGCAGACCTGTCCTGACCCACCCACTACTCCCCTCAGCTGTGTACTTCGTAGATCTGCCTGTTCTGCTCCCCGCTCTGTCTCTGGTGAATCCTGTCACCCTCCACATCTCTGGCCTGTACCCCAGTTCTGTATGAGTAAATAAATAAATCTTTTAAAAAAAATAAAATAGGCACTGTAGATTTGTCCAAATACTTGTAATCCAATGAAAAGTACACTATTAATAAAGTCTTTCCTTCTGTACTGAATTAGAAAATTTTCAAGTGATAAATACTACAATTAGTGTGGGATAATCACAATATCCTAGGATAGCACAACACATTTAAAATGTAAAGAACTTGATTTAATACTAAAATTCAAATCTAAACTATGATACACCAAGTTCTAGATCTAAAAGGAGGGGTGGTGGTGCTAAATCTATCCCAAAGTATGGGGGGGGGACTTTATTGGTGACTGACATTAAGCAAACCTATTTGTCTGGGATGGTCTCAAGTAGGTTCCTGATTTGTACTAAGTAATTTTCCAAAATAATGCAAGATCACTGATCAACTGAAAAATTCACTCTGGTGCAGGTCATCCTCGTATTAAGGAAAGGTCACTGAGTACATGCCTTGCTTCTAATGAGACGGGATCTTGGAAAAACCCTTTCTCAGTCTGTTTCCTGACCATTCCTAAGTCCTGAGAAATGGAACAAAGACTTTACAGTCATTGTCTCCTTTCTGCCCTCCACCCACATCTCTTTAAGGGTGTGTCATTGTCGTCATTTTATGGAATCACAGACAGATTGAATAATGTCACAATGACATTAGGACACAACACATATCGTTTCCACAACATGAACTTCCTTAGACCTTTGCAGAAAACTCTTAAAATCTTGTTCAATTTACTCGACCATAAATGGCTCTGCTGGTGACCACGGCCTCGCTATTAAATGCAAACCTCCAGGTTACTCCTCATTCCCCGAGTCTGTTAGACAGGGGTTCCCGCAGGGGTCTTCCATTCCTCCTTCCCTCACCTTCTAAGGCTCCCATTCCCAACCACCCGCACGAAAACATTTAACTCTACGTCTACCGTCCCTGATTTCAAACTAACTTCCCAGGACTGTAAACTGTAAGCGCCCAGAATAGAATTGTAGGTCTCCTTTGTTCAATGATTTATGCAGCCTTCATGCCTGCACTTAGTAGGTCTCAATAAACGTCCCAAGAGCTTCTTAAGCATAGTTATAGCCCAAACTAAGGCTGTTTAACTGTCCCCCAAACAGAATCCAGTTTCCCCCACTCCTAGCGCATGTTCCCTTCTAGCAGCCTCGTGTCCTGCTATCCTAACGCCAGAGAAGCCGGTAGCTTCGGGAGGTAGTCTGGAAGTCACCCTATTTCCTTGACCGTCCCTCACCCAAACACCGGACGCGGCAAGGAGCGCCCCAGACCCAGCAGTAGGGCGCAGACGGCGGTCGCGCGTCACTCACCGCGGGGGAGCGCGGGCGGAAGTCTCGCGCTGTTTGAGGGGCTGTGCGGGCGCGCCGATGACCTAGGCCCTCCGACCGAGTGCGCAGGCGCGCGACTAGCCCCGGCTCCTCACCCCCACCCCAGGGGCGGGCTGTTGAAGTTTAAGCGCGCTTCCTGGGTGCGGAGCCTTAACGGCCAGTCTCTGGTTGGGACCAAGTGCTGTGGGGATCGGATCCCTGTCACCGTCTTTACTGACTAGCCCCCAAAGGAAATGCTTCAAACTCGAGCCCTGATTTCAGTCCCGAAGCAAGTTTATTCGTGGTTTTTTGTTTGGTTTGGTTTTTAATACTAGAATAGTTTATTTTTACATCATTTTGTGCCTTTTCCCATCTCAGTTGTAATCCCCGTGGGCTTCCCATCGCCAAATCACCCGTGTGCCATCACCACAGGCCAGTGCACTTCTCTCCCACACTCCCCCATTTTTTATGCCATTCCCCACTCCACCCCTGTAAAATGTCTCTGGTATATAGTTGTTCATTATTACTATTTTCTCGCCTGGTCCTTTAGACTCCTGCTATGAGTGAAACCCTCTGGTATTTTCCCTTTTCTTTCTGTTTTTTTTCACTTTTTTTTTTTTTTTCCAGCACTGCACGAGAGAGACCATCCACCTACCTACCCCCTCCCCCCCTCTTTTTTTTTTTTTGCTGAGGGGAGCGCCGGTGACAGAGGAGAGGTCTGCTACTCTATGTATAGAGTCAGCTCCCTGGCCCAGGATCCAACTTGTGCTGCAGTGGCTGATGATAGCTTGATAGCATTGTCTTTAACCCTTGCGCCACTGGCAAAGACCCCTGCCCCGCTTTTTATGGATGAGACTAGCAAAGAGCTATTACGATGGGACCACCCGTCAGCTGGGTTGGAGACAGTGCTGCAGTTGAAAACGTTTTCCAGAGTGCTGGCCCAAGACCCCTTCCCACATCTTTACAAGGGAGTTGAGTCTTTTTCACAAAGAATCTCAAATACAACAAAAATGAATAGCCCAGTGTAGGCTGATTCATCAGTTTCATTAATTATTAATTGCCTCCTTTGTGCTGAACTGGATTGAGCAAGGTTTAATCCTAGAACAGCTTTGGATCCCCAAGGACTTCCAACCCTAAGAGAGACAGAACTGAATTAATCAAGCAGGTGTAATAATTGCTATTTATGTTTTCTGTCAGAGCTAATAATCCAACACAAATCACGGAATTCAATAGATGTAAGATGGTGGTGAAAGGTGAGAGAGAGAGTAAGACTCATTGGAAAGGTTGGAGCTCCTCATAACTTCACCTCTAAATTTGTTTACTTCTTTGGGAAAGCTTCAGGAAACGACTAGAAGTATTATATTACTTTGCAAATTCCCTCATTAACTCATCTCTTTTATCTGTCTTGTAGACAGACCTTCAACTTGTACTACAAAATATTATACTATATGTTGAGTATATGTGTAGGATGTAGAAATGATCTAAATCATCTTTTAAACAAAACATCATTGGGCCTTCCCTGGTGGTACAAGGGGTTTAAAGCACAGCACTAAGAAGCCACTGCAGCACAAATTGGATCCCCACCCAGGCACATGACCTCTCCTGTCCTGACTGCTCCCCTCAGCAGGGTATTTCAGTGGATCTGCCTGTTCTGTTCCCCATTCTGTCTCTGGTGAATCCTCTGACCCTCTGCACCTCTGGCCTGTACCTCAGTTCTTATATGCATAAATAAATAAATCTTTTAAAAAAATAAAACATCATTGACATAAACAATCACATTAAGATTAAATATCAATATATTTGATTTATGCTCCTTGCTCTTTGTTTTCTCACTTCTTCCTTATAAAGAAGAAAAGAAATCTGCTTGAGTTTCTTCTTGAATTGGATTCAATTAAGAGTACATGAGCTTTTCATCCCAATAAGGACTGTCTTACTTTATGATGTCAGTGTGTGCCTTAATAAGTTGGAAAGAAGCTACTGGGATAAAATTGTTCATAGTATTCCTGTAATGAGCTTCTTGGATGTGTAAATTAATGTTTTTCATCAACTTTAACAAGCTTTGGCCACTCTTTGAATTTTTTTTCACCCATTTCTTGTCCTCTGAAACTACCATTATATATGTGATTGCATGCTAGTATTGTCCCATGGATTTCTGGATTCCTCTTCATTTCTTCCATATTTTCTCTGTTTAAAGATTGAATTATTTTTGTTTTTCTTCTAGTTAATTTCTGCCACTTTCACATCTGCTGCTGAGTCCCTGTAATCAATTTTTCTTTTTTCTTTTTTAAAAATTTATTTATTTATGCATACAGAACTGGGGTACAGGCCAGAGATGCTGGGCAGTGAGAGGATTCACCAGAGACAGAGTGGGGAACAGAATAGGCCGACTGATGAAGTACACTGTGGAGGGGAACAGCGGGCGGGTCAGGAGAAGTCTGACCATGTGGGTCACCCCATGGTTGGGGATCAAACTCCCACTCAGGTGGTTGCAGCTAGCTTCAAGTGCTGTGCTTCAGCTGGTTGCACCACCAAGGAGGGTCCCCTAATCAATTTTTCTTTTCAGTTTTGTGCTCTGTGGTCCCAGAATTTCCCTTCAGTTCAATTTTTTTAAAATGTCCTGTATCCTTATTGAGAAAACTCAATTTGTTGATCAACTATTGTCATGCTTTCCTTTTAATTCTTTGGACATAGTTTTGTTTAGTTTTTGCACATATTCATTAAAATCTGCCTGCTAAATTTAACCTCTGGGAACACACAGAAACCATTTCTTCAACTGCTTTATGTATGTTCTTCTCACCCGCCCAAACCCTCAAGTATTGGTTATACTTTCCTATTTCTTTGCAGTCCCACATTCTTCTATTTAAAACTTTACATTTTGGATAATATATTGAAACAAATATGGATTTTGAAGTTTTCTTCCTTGAAGGCTTTTCTTTTTTTGGTCTCTTATTTCTTGTTCCTTACCTCCTTCTTTCTTTCTTTCTTTCTTTTCTCTTGCCCTCCTTTTCTCCCTCCATCTATACTAGCTTGCTTGATTTCTTCTTGCCTAGGCTACATTCATGAAACCTCCATTGCAATCTGTGGTTACTAATATCTTCACTCATTTTTGTTGTTG